CAGAAGTAGGGTCTTTTCTCCATAAGACTCCATACTATTGGACTTTGTGGGCTCTGTCCACTGATTACTGTCAACCCTAACCACTAATCCTAAAAGACCAAACATACTGGAAATACTGTATGTTGTCCTGAAAATGTTTGTATTTTAGCTCCTCACTCAGATTGCCTACGTAGTTGTATATTTTGTTTGAAACTCAAATGTTGGTAGGATAATGCGGTATGACACTTCAAAGCTGCTTTACCAGACGGGGAATGGAAAATTTCATAAAAGCGAGCTAACGCGGAGTGTCCGAATGACGTACGATGTAACCAAACATCAATATATGACTCATCAGAACCTCGCCATCATTAAACACAAGGAGTGATGCTTGTGCTGGATGTTTAACGACTTCACACACGAAACACAGGCGTTTGCTACAGGACTATTAAAATGCAGTCGACTAAGTAGATTATGGAGATCATTTTCCTGAGTATGGAAACAATCGAAGCTGAATGTAGCCAGAGATGACAGACAGGTCCAGTAGGTTTGTGAAAGTTGTCCATTTATTGAATGAGGTCAACAAAATATCATTTATAATTTCCTAGTGACCAGTTGTTCATACTTGACATTGAGATCTCTACAGAGTCCTCCAACGAGTCTGGGTATACATTCTGGTGACAGTGGCACGTGTGACACCCACAACACACCCAACATGCTACCCATACAAACACATAACGACTACAATCATCACACACAACATCAACACAGAAGAGATAATAGGCGAGAACGAAACACATATAAATACTCATCAACACACCTATCACACTCACCCGAAACAGTCACACACATCGTACGTCATGAGAACTACTCGCAACAGTACCAACACGAATTGATTAGATCCAAGCCTGAACGTGTAGTGACATCTACTTCAGGATGGTCAGCGGTCCCACCACTAGTGGTAGGGTACATCAATAGCTGATTCGTTCTTGCTTTTGTTTGTGAGGTATATCTACAGAGACAAACGTGAAGATAGATGTATTATGAGAAGCTGATGAAGGAGAGGATACAGATGAAGCCGGACAGAGAGTGATAGAAGAGAATACGAGAGCCGAGGGCTGGTGAGGTAGAGGAGGGTATGAGATCTAGTCTAGCTAGATAGGAGAGAAAGATAACAAGCAATATCATACGTCATATAACCTCGGTTGCGTAGAGATATCCTATTATATCGTTAGAGGGAAGAACAGTCACGTATCGTTGGCACCCACTGGAGCGAGGGCAGCTTTGACTGAGAAGTCTGTTTTCTTGTAAGCAACATTCTCACTGACTGCACAGTTTTATAAGATTCTAAACAGATATCAGTAATGCTGATCAGTAGATACATGTATGATTTATAATTATATTCCAGAGGTCACAGGAGGGGATGTCTGACCCATTCTGATCAGATTCTGATCATGAGTCTGTGTTGAGTACATGCGAACAGTCTGATCTCATGCCCACATAGCAGCAGAAGATATATAATTCTGATTGAATATGTGTCTGGCACATTGAAAAACCAGCTGTAGCTTCTGAATTTGGCAAATGAAAATACTGAAGGTTCAGAACTATTTTCTCGACCACAACTCCTGAGATGAGGTGAGCGATCTGCTTGTTGTTGGAACTGGAAGTCACAGAGTGGATGTTCTTCCTCCACAAGTAACCTTCGCACGGGTACAGATCGTCGACATGTAAACTGTATAAAAATTAGGCAAAAATATCCCGGATACGGCCGCCGCAGTAGCGATCGCGGTTGGTGCTGTGGTATCGAAGTCCCCCCCATATGATACCTCCATTGGCTCGGTACATCTCTGGTCACAAAACCGCAGGTCTTGGTCATTCAGTCCTCGGTCAAGCGTTGTGTTCCAATTCCTTATCAAGTCATTACGGACCCTTCACTAAATGTAATGCCAACTGAAATTTTTACTGTACTCCTATAATACACTATAATACTGAACTACTAGAGTCGTCTTGAAATGGTGAGATGCTCTTAGTATAACTGCAAATGTGATCGAATCAATGTAGTGACCGTCCTGATGAAGGGATGTATGTGATTGATAGCCCACTTTTATTCACTGTTCACTCCAAATTCTAATTTGTTCAACAAACTGCCTTTCATTTAAGGTTTATTGTTTAATGCAGTTTTCAGCTGTTATGTAACAGAACAAAATACAACCAATGTTCAATCTTACTCTCATTTACTCTTTCTGCATCCTCCAAAGGAGCTCTTCCACCAGAGAGACTGACTCACTCAAGTGTTTTTATACAGGTTTTAATGAGTTTTAACGATCGGCTGTCAACCCCTGATTATAATTGTTTAGTTACCCTGCTGCTTAGTGTTGAAGTTAATTGATGAAAGCGATGTGAATGAAGCTGTGTAGGACAGAGCTTTATTCCTAATGGGTGTGTGTGTGACCTGTCACAATAAAAGCCTAAGCCAATTACCAGGAAATCCCCACAGTGTTTTGCTTTGTACTCATCCTTACTAGTGCATTAATGTCTAAATAATTGGTTTTGAGTAATTGTGTGTCCGTCTGTTTCCCAGATGAAGAAGGAGCTGGGTGACAATGACTCCATCAGTCAGGAGGTCGTTGGTAACGCCCACATTGAAAACTACGCCTTAAAGATGTTCCTCTACGCTGACAACGAGGACCGAGCAGGACGATTCCACAAGTAAGGAACCCAGCAGAGGTTTGACGTTGTTGTCTGTGGACATTATCAGCTCGTGTTCCACCTCCACACCAGCTGCTCAGTGTTCCAACACCTCTGTCGCCTTGTTTCCTCTCCTCTTCTCTATTCTCTCCTTGTTTCCTTGTTTCCTCAAACAAGAAGACACCAGGACACCTAGTGGAGCGGAGTCATCACACACACCTGCTGATATACACGTTCACACCAACATGTACAAAGTTATGTTTATGATGTAAACATAACTCCCCAGACCACTGTTAATGTTAATGGACTATTTTTGATGCTCACAGTTGTCTGGACCACTTCCATCTCCCAGATTTTCCCAGACAGTTGAACTCTAATCTCATGGGTCAAGTTAAATAAATGTTTTTCCTTCAATGGAAGTCAAAAATCTGACTTCATGCACGAAGTTGATTTAGGTCAGGAAAACATCTCAGGCAGTGTGCCTGATGTCCCGTTGGTGTGTGTGTGTGGTATGTGATAAGAACAATTCTATGCTTTTGAAATACCAAAACAAAAGTTTCAACCTTTGGTAATCATTTTCCCCATTATCAGCACTTCCCTTTCTACAGAAACTGGCAAGGAGGAGAAGGCAGAAACCAAGAGGAAGGGGGAGCGTAGAAAGCCCCACTATCACTGTATGAAAATTTAACCATCTGCCAGATGTTATTGTCGATGTGTAGGCACAAATAATTTAGCTTTAAGCGAGAGAGGTAAAGAGGAGTTTGCTTTCCTGCATTATAAATGGTAGATATACCTCAAACTAGAGCAGGACTGCACCTGATTTCTAATCACTATTAGAATTCATTACATCTGACATCATATTTCGCAGGCCTATAGGAAACCAGACGTAAGTAATTGGACACGTTGAATGAAAGGAATGGTTTCACTCTCCCTAGTTCCTCCCTTTCCTTCCATGTATGATCTGGAATGTGATGTTTTTTTAAAGGGTATTTTCCTGAATAGAGTGACATAACCAGATGGCTATGCTGGTGGAATGAATAACTTTTTCTTTCCCTATTGCAAAGCCCTATTGAACCTGATGGGAATTGTTGTTTTTCTGCCTAAAGGATTGGGTTTTTAGAGGCTGCAAAATTTTCAAAAACTGATGAAACGCAGCCCAGATTCAACGGTGGCCGAAATGTACAGATGGGTCTCGAACATGGGCTCGACTGCGCCCCCCAAACTCAGCCCCTGGGCCTGATATGTATGAAAAATCGGTACACACGTGTATCATGACCCATACCTTAAACCCAACAGGAAGTCGGCCATTTTGAATTAGGTCGTCGTTTTTGGCGATTTGCACACCTATTTTAATGAACTCCTCCTAGGGAATTCGATCGGATCGATTTGGTTACCACGTGTTGTGCTATCGGTGACTGTGCGTCACACTATACACGGTCTGGTTTGTACTTCACATGTTTGACAAGAGTTCTGCCCTAAACACATCTGCATGCCAGTATTCAGTCAGTTATAGTGCAACCTTCTGGAAACAGAGATTAAGCCTTGTGTGGTGATCATCATCTGATTTATATGAAATTTTCATTGTGTGATCTGAACATGATGCTGGCCCATAATGCGCCCGTAGCCCGACGCTCAATTCTATCTCATGGCTTCTTTTTACAACTTCAAATTAAAGTCAGGTTCTAATCACCATTTTAAAACCTGTGTAGTATCTTTAATGCAGTGTGCTTTAATGATGCACGTGGGGAGATTCATTGGCTATTTTAAGTCTGTCAACAGATTGTGATATTATTTTTGCTGAGATCGCCCACCATCAAATTCAACACTGCAGCTTAAACACAAGATGAATAAAAAGTTTCTGCCCAGGATTTGAGATTTGAGTTAGTTAGGGCTGGAGTAATGTTTGAAGTCTCTGCACAGTAGAGACACTGCCTCCTTCATGAACTCTTGAAGTGACACATTAAACTCTTTGGGGATAAACAGGGAACCACAACAGGAAAGCGAGTTTCCCTCCCTGTCAGTAAGTGTGAGCAGCGTGTGGCAGGTTGTGGAGGATGAATGGACGCAGGCGTCAGGTTCTCTGGACTTGTTTGCGGTGTAAATACCCGCTCAGAAGCTCCCTGTTTCCAGCAGGTATATTCAGCGGGATTGTGTAATATTTCTGTTCCTCTGAAAGGGAACACAAACAGCCTGCAGTTTTACGAGAAGCAGCAGTCTGAGCTAACAGGACTCGGCGGCGTATTATGTCACCACTGGGCACACACAGAAAATACAACACAGGTAGTAATAGAAATAGAAACAGGCAAACATACGTGTAGGTACAGATACACAGGCACAACATGCACTGACACACACGTCCACATTCATGACGCACACACATGTTGAGGTGAATGTTTATGGGAAACTTTTGGAGGAATTAGAAACTTCCTCCAACATGTTGAGGCCACTGCTCAGTAGCTCACAGGCTGTGCTACAAGGAACCCATTCATCGTTCTTACATTAACTGAGTGTGTGTGTGTTACTGTGTGTGTGTCATGATGGGAAATGACCCCTAACTGAGTGCCGGTAAATCTGGGCTGTGGCTTGTCTACTTTAAACCCAGGAAACCAGAGACACTATAACTCCTGTATTTAAACAAATGTATCACTTACTTAACATCTGTGCATGCAGCTGTTGTTATAGTGGGTTGAACTGGGAAATAAATCAATATGATACTGGTATTTGATTTAATAATAATATTTAATTTGCTGCGGTAACTTTTCTAATGGGGATGCATTGATCCAACCTTTTCCATCCTCATAATAGTTAATCTGGTGATACGGAGTACCCATCAGCAGCATCCCGATTTTCCAGGACTGGATTGCACCGGCTGTGTATAAGTTATGGTGTGAAGTCGACACTAAAGGCTTAGTAAATACTAGATAGTTTGTAACTAAATCAGCTACTCAAATTGGTTGCAGCACGATTACTTGGGGCGGAACCTAACTAGTCTGGACGTAAAGTCAAAACTAAGGCAAGTGGCCAACTTATAAAGCTAGAGTTCAATCATCCCTGTTGCCTTTAACTATCTATCTGGCATGAGGCTGATAAACAGCCCTATATAAAGCCAGTGTTTGGTTTGTCTGCACCAGGCTACTGTAGAAACAAAGAAAAGCCTATGGTAGTCAAAGCTTTCAGTATATATACGACAGCATGACCGTGGCCTAGCAAAAAAACAAAAAAAACCCAAAATGGAATATACCAACTATGAAACTGTTACAATCTAAAAAAAAAAAGATGTGGTTCAAACTTTTGTAATACGGCCCAGTAGTAGAGTATTTTAACAGTGATGTTCATTTGAACTCACCATGTCTAATGAGCTGGTTGCGCTTACACTTCTTCCTGCAGCCTGAAGTCATCGGGTGTAGTCAGCAGTTCTCTTCTCATCTGTCACATCTATTCTGGACCGCTGTTTGATGTCATGCAGATGAGAGCACTAGATCCAGCTGCTTACAGAGTACCAATCCAAAAGTTTTTGTAGCTCATGTAGTTAGAAACACTACAGTTCAATCAGCTGTGATGGAGGAGTTTTGCTTTTTGACTGTGTGAAGCAAGGTTGTGTTTTCTCATTCGTATTAAACATTAACTGCACATTGGGGCCTAACTTTCTTTTTTTGTGCTAATCCCATGTAGTTATTTTGTCTGCAAACTGAATCTACATGTCCAATTTCAAGAGAATGTACTATATCACAATACACTGTAAGGGAGGATCTACCCATACCACCCACCCTGAGCATAAAGCCACTTCTGGCCAGGCATATAAGATTCATACTTTGGTTTTATTGTCCATTATGTACACACAGTTGAGCTTTGTGCTTCAACGCAAATTGCTTTTATTGTATTAGATCTTATTGGGTTTATGATTATTCCAAATGTACTGAATATGGTGGTCATGATCAAAGGCTTTCTTTTTTTTTTTTAACCATGTCTGACACTGAAATGTAATTGACCCTTTTTGCTCTGTGAACCAATAACAATTGAGCAAGCCTGAGTCAGAACCTGTCCATATATATGCTAGGCTTGTCTAATTACAGCAATTGTTTGCTAGCTAGATACTGTGATACCTGTAAAAACTGTATATATGGAGAGAGAGAGAGAGATTTAAGTTAGCTAATGTTAGCAAAATGCTAGCTAACTAGCCAGCTAATCTAATATTACTGAAATCATTAGCTTGTTCGTTAGCTAGCCTTTTGCCAACATTACCTAACTTCATTTGACTATATTTGTTGGTAGGTACCCTAGTAGCATCTTTACAACTTTTCAACCTTTCAACACAGTGGAGCCTAGCTCGTACTAGCATATCTAAGTACAGGAAACAGGGAAGCAGAAAGTTGACACAAGCTCGGCAAAAGCACACTTCTTTATGCAGTAGAACTACACTGCAACAGTTTCTATGCACTTTGCCAATTTGGTATTTCACCAGAAATCTGGATTTTGTTTTTAAAGTAGGGGGAAGGAAAGGCCAGAGCTTGATCAGAGAAGTCATCACTTTTCTCCTGCATGTTTAACTCACAGTTCTGACATATGCATCATACCTCAATGAAACACTGAACTAATAGTTTTGCATGTTTTTTTCTCCCTCTCTCACTTCTACTTTCTACCTTATTACCTCAATTTTTCACATCTCGTATCTCTCTTTCGATCCGTCCTACTCCTCTGCCTCTTCCCTTTTCTCCAGGAACATGATCAAGTCTTTCTACTCATCCAGTCTGCTGCTGGATGTCTTGTCTGTGTTCGGGGAGTTGTCAGAGGAGGTAAGATAAAGACCGTTACAAGTTGGATCTTTGCAATCTCTGATTTTCAACAAAAACCTGATCACTGTATGTCGTCCGGAAAAGTCAGCTCAAAGGATCCCCTGAAGAGCAACAAAACATCCATCCTGTATCCTGTCAGATACTGAATAACAGTTATGTATTGTAACGGTATGACCAGTTAGCTGTTAGGTTGGCATTAACAATATTTTCATCATGTTTGTGAGTCAATATTCATGGCTCAAGCACAGAGCATAATAAGTGAAATAATAAAACAAAACTAAAGTTCAAGTGCAAACAAAAAACAATGAAGAAGGCACTTCCTCCCAGAAAATCCCTGAAGCCAGTTTGAATTTCCCACTCAAGTAAATCCCCAAAACACAATCAGGTTTGTCTGTGAGTGACCAGCCAAAATATAATACCCTCCGGTGGTTGTGATAGCAGCTCCCTACGGTATCTGTGCCTTCGAACGAAACGTCTTAAACCTTTCAATTTAAACCAGACTGATTAAAAATAGGCTGTACACACTGTACACACTGTAAAGTGTAAATAAATAAAGTACACCAACATCAAATTCCCTTCCATACTGTTACCATCACAGGGTCATAGAGGAAAATTTTATTCTATGTAAATACATGTGCAATTATCCTCCGAACTCCCACTAACCTCTGGTGAGACAGTCACTACAAAGTCCAGTCAAACTTTGTTCAAACTCATACAAATTTATTTTAAATTCTAGTGGAGATCCAAAAGTTTCCAAAGATCCCAAATATGCAAAATATAGGGGGGAAATGTGTCTGAAATGATGCACAAACATATTTATATTTTATGGAAATGTGAAGCAATAACCAAACAACAAGTGTTTGAATATTTCACTGGTATATATCATAGAGCTCCAATAAAGAGTTACTGTAGAGTTACTGTTAGGAGTAGATTGGTCAGAATATCTAAAGGGGTGGTCAGCAGCAGGTAATGTGTCTTTTTGGAGGTTGTTCTTCTCCATATGAATGTGTGACACACAGCAGGTCTTTCTCTACATTGTGTCCAAGTCACCCAGAAGCCATTAAAACATCAACAGGACACTTGCGTCCATACAGTTAGCTGGTGCACTGAGTGAGGCCTGATGGACACACACACATGCACCCGCCATCAGACAATGAGTCCTCAGAGCGGCCGGTGGTGAGTGCTCTGCAGACAGACAGTCAGGAGTGATTGAGTTTCAGGCAGTAAAAAGAGGTTTTCAGCAGCTTCCCGGCCGAGCTGAGTGGAGTCAGTGATCAGGTGAGTTGGCATGGTGTTGTGTAACACTGTCGTCCATCAGGAACCCTTATTCTCAGTGACAGCTTTCTTTCTGGACTGTAGTGAGTGAGAGGAGTAGAAACCAGGTTCAAGCCCCCCATTTTGGGCAGAATTCAACCTACTGAAGTGTCTTTGAGCAAAACATTTCCTGTGTAGCTCCCTTTGGAGGGGGATTTCCTTACAGGAGTTATTATCTTGCTAATCCTGGTATCATCAATACTGGCCTCATACTCAGATTTTCAAATATATTTTATTAGTAAATGTGAAAATTAACAATCATAAGCCGCGCATCCAAATTACGGAACTTTTAGTCCTTGGAAATACTTTTCGTTGTTGTCCATCCAAGTCTAAAGACCTGCGAACATTAAGAAAATTACTCTGCTGATGCCTATTTTTACACGCTATTTTTGCGCGCGACTATACAACAGCAATGCTTGAGCTTCATTGTCAGTCCCTCTGCTGAATGCTGTCTTCTGTAACCCCATGTTTGTGTACTTGACTACATCAATAGGCCATTGACAAATGTCCTGTACCACACTTGGTTTTTGGTGGTTCTTTTGAGATCTCCCCTGTTGAGCCCACTTGCAGACATTTTCCACATTGATGTGTCAACATAAATAAAATGCTGTATGTATTGTGTAAATGTACTGTAAATGTTTAGCGCTGCAAGCCCCACCCCAAAGTTCCTGTATTTTTGGAAGTTACTACCCCCCTCCCCCGAGTAGGACTTTTTTGAGGGGTAGAATCATGTCCCTGGACCTTAATTGTGGTGGAAAAGGGTTCCTTCAAAGGTTCCTAGTCCCTTGTGTGGAAACGTGGCTATAGTGACTCTAAACTGCTGTACAACCATCCTCAAAGAATGCAAACAATAATAGAGAGCAAGAGAAACAAAAATCTTGACTAAAGGCAGGCTTGTCACATTGAGTCACTTCAAAGAAGACAGATCTGAGAAACCTGGTTTCTTCAGAAAAGGTGGTTCGAAACCACTGAAACCTTGATGACAAATCACGGTAGACAAACTACTTAGTTGTGGCAGCGTGAAAAAAAAAAACTGCCCAATCAAAGCTGAGTATGTAAATTATGTGGTCAGCGCTAAACATGTCTGCAAGCTTCAGACTCGTGATAGACAAGAAACTACCTCTCTTTGTCTGAAAGTAGTCTTCAGCCAAGCCTGGGTGATTACATACTTAGGCTCTTATTATATTTCTGATTCTGATTCAAATCTACTCTACATATACAGGTAACAGGTGTAAACATGGGCTTAATGAGGTCTTTCCTTCAAGTTCTAGTAAGAGTCTAGGTCCTTTTGGTAGTTCAGAGTCTTGTATAACTACTAAAATGAACTCTTAACCCTGCCTTTGTGAAAGCCTTGCAGAGGTCCGCAGTTGCATGTTATCAACACTGTGTTTCAGCAGAAAGCCATATCTGCATTGTTCTATCACCTAGGCTGTCACAGCTGCAGACAAAGGTGGCGTTGACCGTCTGTCTCTCTGTCTACAACTGTGATTATCACTCTCTGCCATGAGTCAGTGAGCCCTGACAGGGACAGTGTCAGACTATACGCTCCAGGATAGTTTATCGTCTGTTCACACCACTGAGAATAGGTATTTATGTTCGGCTTGACTCATGGCTCTTTACAGGAGGTTGACGACAACCCAAGGAAAGGCCACATATCGGAAACCTGCATGGGGCTAAAAAAGATACTCTATCAGCCACCTTGGCAACCAGCTGACCATCATCTGGAACGTTAAAGCTAGACTGTCTAGACTACACGTTTTTGCCTTTTTAGCAGTTCCTAGAAAACAAACTTCTACCTGCCTTGGAGCTTTCAAACTAAACATTATTGGTAATTGGCAATAGCCAGAACAGTCCACAGACAGGCAAACCATTATATTATCTATTCTATACATACGGTATGAGTGCATAAATAGCAGGCTTTGGCTTTACATAACAGACTATTGACTAACATCATTTTTGCAAAATCATACAATGTATGCACAGCTTCAGAGACCAAATGTCTAGGTGTAAGGTTGAAAATGAAATAAATAATTACCCCTGGCCCTGGTCTTGGTTCACACTCTTATTGAGTCACCGTTTTCATGGTGTTACAGTGTTATTTCTGTGATTGGAAATGACTACCTTTAGCCAGGCATTTGAGGCAAATCAGACACATCCTTTCCTCAGAAATGAGAACTCTCAGAAACATTGTTTCTGAGATGCTGCTGACAACATTGAAGTTATCTGGTGGAAACAGGAATTTCTGCATTCATTCTTATCGGCTTCATGTCCGTATAAATCTGCTGCCCTTGTCTCTTTTCCTCTTTAAAATTTCCCGTACATACCCACTTCTAAATCACGACCAATTAGTAAATTCCTGCTTATTACGAGCCTCAACCCTACATGTTACCCCGTCCCTTACCACTTACCAACTATCACCTACATTTTATTACCCCTTCTCCTTGCAAACCACCTTACAGCACAGCTAATGACCCCTTTTATGTCTCTCTCTACCTGCTTATTCGACCTTTTACCAGAACATCCAGCACAGGAAGTATGCCCGCTGGAAGGCCACCTACATCCACAACTGTCTGAAGAATGGAGAGACGCCTCAGGCTGGGCCCATCGGCATGGACGAGGACGAGGAAGCAGGTGGGACACACTGATATGGCACTGGGACACACACACACACACATCGCTGTGCTTCCTTGTTACACAACAATTCTCCACATTCTCTCCCTGAGTTGCTCTTTAAAGAACACTAAGGCCAACTTCCTTTGTTGACTTGGTTTTATCGAGGCGTGTTTGTGTTGGCTTTGTATTGTGTTACTTATCAGGTCTGGGGCTATTGCAGGAAAGTCCTGCAGTAGAAAGCAGAAACTTAGTGAGATTAGAAGTATGCAGGGAGTAGATTAGTCATGTGATGTCTTCTTTCATTCAAAGTAACTTTGTTTGTTTATGAGAGAGAATTAAGTGTTTGCTATCTGAATAAGACTTTGGTCTTTCTGTGTCAGAAATGAACTAAGGCTGTGCTGAGCCTGCATGTGTGTTAATGCATGTGAGACTGACCTGATATTTATTTTACTATTCTCTGTTCCCCTCTTATCCAGCCCGGATGAACTCTGAGTCGCTGACCTTTATCACATTGAAAAGCTCTAGCCTCTCATGCCAGGCTTATACCATAAAACATAACCTTTACGACAAAGAAAGCATGGGAAAACACCGCGAGATCCTGAGGAGATTGACTGAATGAATTAGTCAACAAAATGGCCATTGCAGCCTTTAAAGTTCATTGCGTTCTGAGAAGCATGTGGTGGGAAAACACAGGGCAGGAAACTAACCTTTTTGTTTGGCTGCCACAGGGGACGTTTCTTCGTATAGTTCACCGTTTTAGCAGTCGACAAGAGATCTGTAATGGATTAGGACCTCCAAATGCTAGTTTTCTGCTCGAGTGACTGCTTGAGTGGTCCAATTTAACAGCCATCTTTAAAAGCTCACCAGCGTTTGTCTTTTGGCAGGTGGTAATTCAGGCCTTGGGTTAAAATCCACTCTGAAATGGTCTCAGATGCATTTCTTTGTGTTTGGAATGGCTTAACTTTTCCACCTTTTTAACTTTTATTCTGTTCTTATTAATAAATACTACTATTAAAGGACCCCACTGCCATTAACTTTACAACATGTATGTAAATTATTTTCCCAATTCTACATGTCCCTTTTTCTCATATTCCTACTCATCGTGGCTTGAAGGAGCATTCTTACTTATATTGTAGCTTTTTAATTCAATCCCTAGGAGCTTTTGTGAGCTATACCTTCTTTTACAGAGTAGAGCTGCAACAATTAGTTGAATAATTAAATTAATAATTGATTCATTTTGAGTCATTATTTTAGGAGAAAATGTCCAAATCCTGTGATTTTAGCTTCCCAAATGTGAATATTTTCCCATTTCTTTAGTCCTCTATAATAGTAAACTGAATATCTTTGAGTTCTGGACAAAACAAGACATTAAGGACGTCACTTTGGGCTTTGGGAAACACTGATCAACATTGGTTACCAGTTTCTGTCATTTTATGGACTTATTTTAGTCTAAAAAAACATTTGTATTGTATTGCTTTGGACGTCTGGTTTGCTATGCAGCGTTTGATTACCAATAGTTTAGTTGCATCCTAGAGAAAGTTGTCTCCTACCTCTGTTTCAGAGTTTAATTAAATGTTCATTGACATTAATTTTGGTAATATAATGCATGCAATCACTAAGAATACTCCCTTGATTACAATTATGATGAATCCCCCAGGAGAAGATGTTATCCCTCATTGATTTCCCTCATTACACGAGTTCCAGTCCCTGAGGAGGAGATATGGAGATAAAGAGAATCAGATGAGTTTTAACCTTTGAAACAAGTGAAATGTAACCCGCAGCTCAATAGATGGCTTCGGTAGACAGCAAACCTCCTCGAGCGCAGCGCTCTGTTCGGTGAATTATTCAGATAATTCCAGGACTCTAGTGACTTCAGCTACAAGTAGAATTTATACTGGGCCGCGTGGGACTCTGCAGCATCTGGACTCACTTTCAGATTGCACTTTGAGGACTTGATATTGCATCAAATGCCCCTGGGGGAGACGCGCGACATGAACACCTATGGGCTTGCACACGTTTCCCTTCCCTGTAGGGAAACTCTAAACCTATTTTTCATGTCAGGGAAGTGATGTTGACGAATTCCTCGCTAAAATAAAGGCCATCTGCTCGTCCACACCCACTCACTCCACATACATGTGGGTGTGTTTGACCCAAACATCGCCTGCTCACCCATGACATCACCTCAGCTGCACACGCCTGCACAGTAAGCACACACACTGTAACGCCATGTATGTGAGAACACTTTCTTTCCTCATCACTCTCTTTTATTCTCTTCGTTTCACACACGTTCACACCCTCTGTTTTCTTACATACACTGCTCACTCCTTCTCTCCCAGTGTGCATTAGGGTCTCTGTGTCAGTGATGACATCATGATAGCGTATTCCCACTGATGGACGGAGCTGCCAGCGTGCAGCTGATATCATCAACCCAGCAGTGTGTGTGTGTGTGTGTGTGTGTGTTGTGTGTGTGTGTGTGTGTGTGTGTGTGTTGTGTGTGTGTGGGTGTGTGTGTGTGTGTGGAGTGTGTCACGCTCCCTGGTGTTTCTTTCTTATTTTTTTTGTCTGCGCCGTTGTCTTCCCTTTCTTTTCTTTACAAACTCATCAGCAGCCCAGATGTTTTTGCTTGTGGTGGTGTCAGAGAGAGAGAAGCACATCTGCCCCTCTATCAGAAAGCATTTTCTTCTGGATACCATCATTATCATTTTACATTGATTGATGGTTACATTGAGTTTTTAATCCCTTAGATACCACGATGATTCTGGATTTTGTGGTCAAACTGTGGGATTTTTTAGCCACTTGTGGGTGTATCTCGCTGGCATCTGTTGAACATTTTTAGAGATGCAACATATTGCAGCTGTGGGACATTTTTGTCTTATTTGACACCAGAGGATAGAATAAGAGAGCAGGGTAGGGTAACATGCAACATCCACAATGAACCAGAGGTACATGTAGTTGACTAAGACCACAACGCCACAGGGACACCCCTTTTAGCCGTACTTGCTTTTGAATTCGTCCATCATGATCTTCATCATGAGGTGATTCCACGCCCAGGCTCTGTGACGACCATCGAGAGGGTGCACAGGGTGTTTAAGCGAAAAAATGACAGAATTCTCTATGCTGCGTGCTTGACGAGGCTTCCGTCAAAAATAGGCCGACTCCGAGGCACAGTTTGTGTGGAACTATCAGATGTGGCAGTTGGTCGAACTAGTTGGTTTTAACGTTGCTAATCTAACTAGTCGACGCATTAATTGCAGCAATCTGTTTGCAGATTGGCACTATAAGGGGAAAGAGGAGTGGTGGACTGGTGGTAAGATACCCAGAGTGCGGTGAAGTTAGGATGACATTAAGCACTGAGAGAACTAGCTAATCACATTATGTTGTTGTATGTACGTTGATTTTTTAAATCACCGAGCGGGTGAAATTCCTGTGTCTCACAGCAGCATTTACGTGAAATAATAAAAGTTAGATATACAAAAAACTTATGGTCAAGCTTGTGGTAAGCTGGTATGCGCTCGTATTTGAAAAGCAGAAACTACAAATGATCACGGTGTTGTAGAGTCTGCACAGCGGAGGGATGAAAGACCTGCAGAACCTCTCGAGACTTACAGTGTAACAGTCCGCTGCTGGCAAGCGAGATGAGCTCAGGGACCCCCCACGGTGTCATTGTAAGGGGCGTGAGAGGTGTTGTCCATGATGGATGTCAGCTTCATTAACATCCTCCTCTCACCCACTTCCTCTATGGAGTCCAGAGGACAGTCCAGGACAGAGCTCGCTCTCCTGATCAGTTTATTGAGTCTCTTCCTGTCCCTGTCCGTACTGCCCCCTCTCCAGCAGACCACAGCATAGAAGATGGCTGAAGTGCACA